CCAGGCAATTTGCCACCAGGGAGCTCACCACCAAGCAATTCGCCACCAGGGAGCTCGCCACCAGGCAGTTCTCCACCAGGGAGTTCGCCACCAAGTAGCTCATCACCAAGGCACGTCACCMCCGGGTCAAATAACGAGGTACTTAGCCAAAAAAATTTATACATCACAAAAAAATGGTACGTGACCAAAAACGGTTACATCAGAGATGATACAATTTAAGGGGTCTGGATGTACTAGGCATGTTAGGTAAGCACAATGAGTGAGTACATAATAGCTTTGTTATACATGTTCCAATTAATGTGCCTTTCATCCATACATTTTAGATAGATAATTATTTTATTATCTTTGTCAAAATAATTAAAAAAAACATAAATGAGTCCTAATTCCCAACATGTTTAGATTTTCTTTTTTTATTATTTTTATTTTTAATTATTTTGACAAAAATAATAAAATAATAAATAATTTATGTTTAACAGAACAAAAAAGTACATTAACTGGGACACGTGTCACACAGCTATTACGTATTCACTCATTGTGCTTAGCTAACGTGCCTACTACATCTGATTATAGGCTTGATATGGTAAATGGGTTCTTTGAATTTAGATAAATCGACCAAAACATAAGGCACCGGTTTTTCGTTTTTTTTTTTCTGAAAACATATATTGTTTAGATCTCGTGCAGGAATGGTTCAAAAGTATTGAGACATATCGGTAGTGTGACAGATATATGGCATGGATGGAATGGCCAAAACTCAACATTATTACTTCCACATATCGGAAAATACGGACATAGTGTCGATCTGTATTGGTCCTTATCGTCCTATACGGACCGATACCGTGAGTGTATCGGTCGATACGCTTGTTTGTTTTTTTGTTAGGATCATTCTTCTCCTCGTTAATTAATTCTGACCCTGGGCTAATTAATTCCACTTGTTAACTTTTCCATGTACATCATTGACACTACTAATGATACATCGTTCTTAATCGATGAATTCTTCTCATTAATTTTTTTTATTTATCCTCGTTAATTAATTAAGACGTGCCTACTTAATTGTTATCTTTCTCTAGACGCGGGATCTCTCACTGACGATAACTCTGCCCATGTCTGCTCACAACAGACTATCCCCATGAATTGGGTACATCTTCAGGAGGATAAGATATTTTCCATGTGTGGCTGCGGTGTTATGTGGGTAGACATTGGACTCCTTTGTGTATATATAAAATAAGGTTGTTCATGTTACTATGCTTCTCCCTACTTCAAATCCTCTTTACTAATTTTTTGTGTTTTTGAATTTTTTATTTTTTTTAATTCTACATAATTACCCATTAAATCAATAATGAAACAACATAGACTAAGTTATCTCTAACAAACAATAAATAAAGAAAGAGCGATTTGCTTTTATAGATTTCACATCAGCGCCCCACAACGTCCCCTAGTACATCCCAACTGTGTATTAAGAATATCTCCTGATGATAATACAAGAAACGATGAGACATTATTGGAGATGCTCCCAATATATGATTAGGATGTCCTGTGGGACATTGTGGGGCGACCCCTTGTAAGGCATGACCTCACTTTTATAATGTCAAGTGGCACCACTATCCCCTACTTTCTCCAAAATTATCTTTAATTCCTATTTATCTTCTAAATTATCTCTAATTTCTATTTATCTTCTCCCCCACTTTTTATCATGGTTTTCAAAATTGGATCAAACCGGACGGTCGGATCAGAAAACCAAAAACCGGTCAGGTGACCGATTCCGTTTTTCTCCAAAACCGGATTTTTGCAAAAAAACCGTTGATTTGGTCAGCAAACTGCTGACCCAGGCATTCGAACCGTTCAACGGTTTTGACTGTTTTTTTAATTTTTTTTTGTCAGAAGGGGCCGACCGTTCGATTCAAACAGTCGGACCATTCAACTCGGTAACCAGACCCCTGACCGGTTCGGTCTCTGGGTTGGTTTTAAAAACCATGCTTTTTATCTATAAATCTAAAGAAAGTTTGAATTCACAAATTTAAAAATTATTTAAACATTATAATGAAATTATATAATAACTTTAAAATATTTATTAAAACACAAAAAAATAATTATAATAGATTTAATAATATTCATATTATTAAATAATTTTATATTTTTACAAGATTCATCACAAAATTATGTACTAAAAATATACATTATAATTTTACACATTATTCAATTTAAATGTCACTGAAATGATAAAAATTTAACATTAAAAAAGAAAATATTATTTAAATATTTCAATAACTAGATATATTAAATAAAAATATAAAAAATAGCTAAATAATTATATAACAAAATATTTAACATTATGGAATAACTTTAAAATAAATAAAATTCATATAAAAAATTTTTTTAAATATTTTACATATTATTTAAATATTTAAATAACTAAATATTTTAAATAATAAAATATTTAACATAACTAATTTTTAAATAATTAAAATAACAAAATTGTGTAATAAATTTAAAAAATTCTTAATCATCTTGACTTATCCCCAACTTTTAGACGCCTCTCTAAAGATCCCTTCATCAGAGAACTTTTGATATCTAAAACTTTTCAATTACCAAAGTTGTCCAGTTATGGCATTAATTGTCTTTAATGATCAAATTAACTCTGATTCTCTGTTAAATTTTCTTCCAATCCAAAGGTCTCAAACCCATTTGATGAAAAGATGAACCTCCAAATCTAAGATGGAGTAGTACAATAAATTTTATCCTCATACAACTTTTGTTCATTGCAAACTCAAATGGAAGGATAATATCGTAAAATTACAAAAACCATCCAGCTCCTGACGATAAATATCTGACAGGGGTCTCTGGAGGTTTCAAAAGGCCGGGGTTAAGTTTAAGAGAAATAGGGATTTTGGGCGTAGCAAGATTCAGTGATGGGTCCTGATAAAAACATGGGGAAGCACAGAATTGTCAAACCCAAGATATTCTCATATTTTCCCTTTTTTTTCTAAATGAGAAATGTTGAATTTGTGCTCAGGACCACAGTCAATGTCAAAATTGTTCTTGTATTTTTGTTCTCTATTCCAATTCCAGACTCAACATTAGATGCTGGACAGCTTGGTTTTACCACCATCACGGAATCAACTCGGCATTTTTATATTCAAATATAGAAAACATCAATCAAATTACTTGTGGAGAAATGGGGTTATCAACATAGAAAGCTGATAACCCCATTTTAATTTCAAGAATTCAGAATCCTATGGTGACCATTTTGGGTACAGTTAGAAGCTTCGGGACCACCATGGTCACCTTAGTAAAGAGAATGCATCTCCTGAATTTTATATACATGTTTCCTTAATCTACAGCCAAATGAACATGTTCATCCAATAAGAAGCAAGGATCAATGCTTCCTGCCTTGGGTGCCTGTTGTAGAATTTGAATTCCAGGATCTATAAGCTTATATGGTACCAAAATTAAATGAGACACAGGAATTGCCACAGAAACAGCACTCAAGTAGGCTCAAGGGCCTTCATATTTACATCTAAGAACAGGCAAAGAAGATAAACCAATCATCTATTGTACATCAAGAATACTACACTATTTTTCCTCTCAGGACACACAAGCCTTCATACAGTATCCGGAAACATCAGTACTTACATAAGCAAGTAGCATTTATCTGTTCTATATTAAATTCAGTTGTGAATCAAAATGGAGAGGAAAAATGAAAACTGAAAAATGATCCAAGGAGCCCTCCACTTACTCAACATCAGCCTTTGGTTTCCTCCTTGACCTGCCATAGGGCTTGGAAGGTGGGGAGGGTGAGAACTCAAAAGGTAGTGGAGGAAGATCCATCTCCCCTTTCAGAATCTTCACAATATCACCAATGTCCGGCCGCAACTCGGGTATTTTCTGTAAGCACATGAGAGCTAGGTTGATACACAGGGTTGCCTGATCTTTGTTGTATGTGTCTTTCAATCTCTCATCTACTAGCTCCAAGATGTTCCCAGACTGAGCTAGCTGCCTACACCAGCTTATCAGGTTTGCTCTCTCCAGCTTCATGGGTGAAGAAAGCACATGCAATGGCCTTCTGCCTGATATAATCACAAGGATCAGAACACCTAGGCTGTAAATATCAGCTTTCTCCATCAAATACCCACATCCACCATATTCTGGAGCAACATAACATACAGTCCCTCTCATGCTTGTTGTACTGCTGAGCTCCCGACTGAAGAGATCGCCACTCCACATCTCACTACCAGCAGAACGGGTCTTCTTCTTCCAGCCCCTTCTAAAACTGAATTCCACATTGGGGTCATAGTCAATCTCGTTCTGTTCCCTGAAAGTAGCACTCTTTCGAAACCAAAACTTCCTACCCAGATCAAAATGTGGGATCTTCAATCCCTTCTTCCACTTAGCTTCTAGCTTCCTCAACCTATTGCTCTTCTTACTTATCTCTGCAAGGTGTTCTTCTTTCCACCACTCCTGCATCTTCCTATGCTTCCTGTTACAGCTTCTCCCACTCTTTTCTTCTTTCTTCTCCGACCTCTTATTGGGACAATCATACCCAAGTCCCTGAAACTGGTTTTCATTTGCAATTTCTAGTTTATCTATCCGAGTCAAAAGATCCAGTTCAGTCTTATCAGGGAATCTTTTCTTCTCATCATCCCAATCTGGGTTTGTGGATGGACAAATCTGGCTTCCTATCCATTCCATAACATAATCTTTACTACACAATTCACCACTCCCATCCTGTTTCCACCACCAATCCTTCCCCCATTGCTTTGTACTGGTTGTCGTGTCATCAAGGGGCAGGGATGCATTAAGATTCAATTCCTTGCTGTGTTCAATACTACATGGTTCATCATCATAAGGAACAAACTTGTTCCAATCCTCCCCGCCAATCTCCACAGGCGACACCTCCTTCCCCTTCCCATAACAACCCTTAAGAGCATCCTCACTCCCAAGACCGCTATTGGGATTTAAAGAATTTGAATTCAAGGTTTTCACAGTGTAAGCCACTTTGTTACTCCTGGAATAAGAAGAGGAAGCTTGCAAAGCGAGAGAGAAATCTACCTCAGTAGCGCTATCAACTGGAGTTCCATCTGTTGGAGTCTGTACAGGAACGGAAGCTGGATTCCCAGACAGCTCTTGGCTTTTCCAGAGTTCTTGGCTTTTCCAGAGCTCCTGACTCCGACCCAATTCCTGACTGAACAATTCGACCCCAAATTCACCTTCCGTCTTAATCCTCGAAAGCCCGAAATCTGAAATCTTCGCCCGGTAATCCGAACCCAGCAGAACATTGCTCGGCTTTATATCACCATGAATGACCGGAGGATCACACTCCAGATGCAAAAAGGCAAGCGCTCGAGCAATGTCGAGTATGATCTCAAAACGCCGATCCCAATTCAAGTTGGGCGACGCAGAGCCTTCGCCAAACAGGGATTCCTGCAAGTTCCTGTTGGGCATATACTCATACACAAGAAACCTCCTCTTCTTCTCAACACAATACCCCAAAAGAGAAACAACAAACGGCGACCGCAGCCCGCCGAGAATCTGCAGCTCATTCTGAAACTCCCTCTCCGCCTGCAACGAAGACACATCGAGCTTCTTAACAGCGACGGACTTCCCATCACGGAGAATACCCCGAAACACCGACCCGGACCCACCTTTCCCGATCGAATTAGCCTCACCGAAATCCTTCGTGACCGACTTCAGCTCCCTATAAGAGAACCTCTGCAACTTCAGCGGAGCGCTGGAATCGAATGGGCTGGTGCGGGAGCGGTCGACGAGGGAGTACCAGAGATAAAATAGGAACAAGACGAGACCAATAAAGAACAAAACTGAAGCCGAGATGGTAAGAGCCAGGAACAAAATCCTAGCCCTGACTACCGAACTGGGGTCTGGGCTTGGCGGTAAAGGCCTCGAGGGCATCTTGTTCTAGGGTTTCCTGATTCGTATACAGCAGCAGAAAGTGGGAGAGGAGAAGAGGAAGAAGAAGAAGAAAAGGTGGTGGGGAATTTCATCTCCGACTTCGAGGTGATTTGTTCAAGCTTTTACAGTTGGAAAATCGAAGAAAACTTCTGATTAATTAAGAGTAAATTAAGAATTAAAAATTAACAATAAAAAGATAAAAATGGAGGGTCCCAAGGTCCACTGTGCTTTTGACCAAAGGGAAAAGTTGTAGCAGCAGCAGCAGCAGAAACGGATACTGTGAGCTCGAGAGAAAATGGAGGGAAGATGGATTACAGAGAAGATCGTAGTAATTAATTTAAAAAAAATAAAAGGAAAAAAAGAAAACTGAAAGCGATCGTTGCTATTATGCCAACGGGTGCGTAGAGCGCACTGCTTTGCTTTATTTTACCGGGCAGTGGAAAACAATCGGATGATGGAGAGTGGGTCCCATTTACTGTATCAGGGATTCAGGGGATTGAACGCCGTTCCACATCTGCATTGGATTCTTGCACCCTGATGGGTCCCGCTTGGTTGTGGTTGTATGTTATCATAGAATCAAAGATTAGTTGATGATCGTTGGATGGGTATATATGTTGTTGTCATTGGTGAATCGAATGGTTGATTTTAGGTGGTCCATCAGTTTGTTTTTAAGTAGCGTACGCCTGATTAGATGTTGTTTCAGAATCAGAAATGCTGCTAGTGCGGGTCCCGCTCGAGGTACGTCCGTACGTGAAAGGAGGGTTAATAGGGTTGCAGGCACGAAAATCATCTGATTGGAATATATGGTGGGGCCCAGTTGTACTTGTTTACCGTGGCAGAAAATCGTAGCGGAAGTTGAACGGTTTGGTTATTAATGGTTAAAAGTTGGGTTGTTAGATCGGATTCGGATCGGGTTCAGAAATTGAAAACATGCATCCGGATCCGATCGGATTTGAAGACTTCGGACTGAATCCGATTCCGCTTTGATTTTTCAGATAAAAAAATAGTTACTTCTCAACTTTTATATATAACAAATTAACCTGAATATAACATACTGAATTTATTTTATATATATATATATTATAATATATAATATATATTAATATATAATATAAGATATAAAAATATTTTTTTATAATTTTAAATATAATTATATAAAATTTATATATTAAAATCAATAAATATTATAATATAATTGGATTAGATGGAGTCAAATCCTAATCCAATTTGATTATCAATTGAATGTATATGGCAAAATTTGAATCCAATCTGATTACATAAATATATCACCTGAATTCGAGACAAACAGATTGGATGTCGGATCAAGCCTCGGATTTTCAGGTATCATTGGAAAGCCTAGTTTAGAAGGCCTAAAAGACCTAACAATAGGATTACAAACGGATTGGGTCTAAGTGGATATAGGCAGATCTAATTCATTTATATTCAAATTCTAATCGGATCAAATTCAGATTATAATAGGATAATAAATAGTATAAATAAATTAAATTAAAAATTATCAAAAATATGATATGTTATTAATAAAATGAATTAAAAATGACTTTAATATTATATATTATGAACAAAATGAATTGAAAATTAATTATATAAAACTTGAACTCATAGGCGAATCTATGTATATGTCAATGTGGGCAATTTCCCCCACTAAGATTTGAATTTTTTTTATATAGAAATGAAAATTTTTAATTTTTTTTCACAATTGTCCCCACTCAAATAAAATAATATGAGGTCAATTTATTAATTTTTTTTTTGGAAGGGTCAAATAATGATACCCATGTCCCAACACCTACTTAAAATCTAAAACTGAAATAATGAGAAGTAAAGTGACTAAAATATTTTTTTCCACTATGACAATTGGCAAGACATGCATATCCCTGAAAACAGAAGGGGTCATTCAAACCATCTATTTTCTTTTCAAGTTTAGGGTTGGAGGCTTGGAGTAAGGTTGTCAATGGACTGGATATTGGCCTTGTCCAACCTAATCCAATATGAGTCCATTACAAATGGACTAGGTGTAATCTAATCAAATAAATATTTTGGACCATTAAGTCTAGGATAGTCCAATTCAATGTCTTATTGGATCGTTCAAATTAGTATTAATTCATATTGGATCCAACCCAAACCTGGTCCGTTGACACCTCTACTCTTATGTTCTATCAATGGACCAAACAATGTTCAGCCTGCTCACTTAATTCAATATAAACCCATTACAAATGAACCAGGTCAAATCCAATCCAAGAAATACTTTAGATCATTAAGCTTTGGATTGGTCAAATTCAATGCCTTATTGAACCGTCCACCCCATTCAAATTGATTTTGATTCAAATGGGTCCAATTCAAACCCGGTCCTTTGACACCCCTAACTTGGAGCAGGTTGCTGGATTGTAGAGGAGGAAATCAGGGAGACGAACAAGGTAGAGTCATTACCTTTTATCTATATTCACTCTGGCAATCTTGAAGGTCAAAACACACTGAGGAGATCTTTCTCTTGGTGTTTTAGAAATTATAACTCTTAGTTTTTTATGTAAAATTGTCCTAACCATTGTTGTGTTAGGAACAACGTTTTCTTTCTTTTCTTTTTTTAATTTTTAGATCTCTATATGCTTGAGAATATTAGAAAAATCTAAGAGAAAAAATGATTCATTTGGAGATGTATCTATTTTTCTAAAAATTATTAGAGTGGAAATATTTTAATCTCAATTTTTCGTTTTAATTACTCAAATGTCAAATGTTATGACTAAGTTGATGTTATAATAATGTCTGACTCCACTAATCAAAGGTCTTAGATCCGCCATTGTTGAACCTATGATAATTTAGTGAAAATGCAGCATTTAAATCAACTTCAGTGATAGATATAATATAAATTTTAAGTATATATGAGCATATATATAATTAAACGGAATTGAATTGGGGTAAATTCATATTTGATCTAATTATGTATAAATTAATTAAACTCGGATAATTATATAAATTCTGATGTTTGGGCTAGGTGCTTGGTTTAGAGAAATCAATTCATCAAAATGATTTTCTTAAAAATGGCCCCATTCCTTTGCCAGGAACGAGGGAGGTGAAATTGATTTACCCACATTCTTCTCTAGAGAATTGAAAGGTCCACTAAAAAAATCATTTTCCCTCAAGTAAGCGTTTAGGCCATTTTCCCATATATAAGTGTTACTTTCTCCCAGGTGAACAAGTCAAATTCTCAAGAGGAAGAAAACTACCAAACTGTTATACGACTAAAATACCTTTCCCAACACACAAAACCCAAAAATAAAAATGGTACGAGATGAGAAACACTTTCTAACAAAATAATAAGGTTTTGAAAATCAACCTGGCCACTGGTTTTTTGGTTGATGATCGAACTATCCGGTTCGAATGGATGGCCCATTCTAACTTAAAAATAAAATAATAATAATAATAATAATAATAATAATAATAATAATAATAATAATAATAATAATAATAATAATAATAATAATAATAATAATAATAATAAACGAATAAAAATCATTGAACGGATTGATGGTTCGATAGCCTGAATCAGCGGATCGTTGACCAGATCAACAGTTTTGGCCAAGGACCAGGTTAAGGGTGAAATGAACCAGTTGCCTGGATGATTCCCAGGCCAAATGGTCCAACCATACGGATCAAAACAGTTCAAAAACAGTGCAAAATAACACAAATGAATGCATTTACCGAAGAAAGTGTTACCCAGCAAAAGAATGAGTTATTTTAAGGTGACTGGGGAATCACTGCCTCACTGGTTTGTTTAAGAAAATTATTTTTGGTAGAAATAATGTTGACAAGATGATTTATCAAAATATGCACATGCAACTGTCACAACATTATTGGTCTGCACATTATTATGGTATAGACATGTCATTGCCATGTCAGAATTCAATTCAAAGATTCCCTCCAATTTGCAAAGTAATCTTCCGAGCTTTGAAGCATCTCTAGGTCTGGTTCCATACAGGATGGATCAGTCCTGAAAGGGTCTAACCCAATTATACTTCATAGTTATTTTTACCTATGATAATAACTTGGATCTTGAAACTTCATTTTTGAGAATATAACCTTAATAAGAATGAAAATAAATAATAAATAGTTTATTAAATAAACAAATTCTTTTAACCAAAGTTATCATATAGACCTTCTATGAGATGGTTTTTGTTCTACCCCTAATCCTTTATAAATTATACATTATTAATTATATAATCTTTTTGGGTATTAATCAGTTTGAAAGAGAAAAAAATAATCAAAACAACATAAATTGGTTCAGTTAGCTTACATCACCCCAAACCATAGAAATCAGAATCAACTGACTCTACTGATTTTTGAGGAATCAGCCTTCCCAAATGAGATTTCAAACTATTTGGAGGTTCAGATGAAGATGATGTATCAAATTTAAAAAAAAAAAAAAAATCAGAATTGAGGAATGGATTCCTTCAACCAAACATCCCCAGATGGTCCATCTTGCCATCTGATTCTTAATAGATCTGTATCTTGGCATAATGTTCAAATCATGGAAACCTAATAATCCTGATTTCTGAGATATTATTCTGGGGTTTGGATTTCAAAATACCACCCAAATGCCCTAAAATTCTACTCCGAAAAAAATTGGTAAATTCTTTTCATTGGATTCTAGTTCTGCCAAAACTTATTATTGAATTCTGACATGGGTGATCTCCTTCCTAACTTTCTTGGGCCTCTAGAGCCTAGAATAATTGGCCTAATGGATTACGTATGGCTCATGTATGGTGACCAACTCTGGCCTTTAGACATTCATTATTGCTTCTCTGTGCTTGGATACAGAGCCATATACTAAAGAACAATTTTATAAGTGGAAGAGTGTACCAGTTCTTTAGGGTTAGCCTTCCTTTATCTTCTTTCCTTTGGTAGCTAGCTAGCTGCAAATGATGGCTATTATCATCCATCCAGCTGCTTTGATGTTGAAGTGGATGGTCCAGAATCCAGATCCACCAGTTCTTGGCCCACATTGTAAGGTTGCTGGGCTTGTCACCTCATTTATTTATTTTTCTTTGTCTTCTTATCATGCTGGGGGTGACAATAAACATTCTTCCACTTGAAGAGCAACTTCACTGACCCAGTGTTTGGATATCAGACTACAATTTG